TGCCTCCACGCCCCAGAATGCACGAGTCTACCTTCAATCAACCGTACACACCCCAGGGTCGGACTCTCTAGAGAATCTTTCGACTTCTACTGAAACAAAGATACTCTGCATGTTTCGTAGGACCAGGCAAAGAAAAGAAACCCGGCAAAGCACAGTACCCTTTCATCATGTTGGGCCTGCCTCCAGAGCTGCTGGATCCATGATGCCACCAGCAGATTCGTCAGCCTCGGCCTCCCGCTCCTGTGCACGAACAAAGCATCGCAACACATTGCAGTCCCACACGAACCACGTGGAGGAGCTGTTGCTCTGCAGGATTTCATCGGCCGGGCCTGTTGTCCCGCAGGCCGAATCTGAGATTCGACAATGCTGCTGCACAGTAGATGACCATCTCTGTCAGCTGCAATTGCTTCTTCAGAGACCTCATGCTTCTGGATGAATTCAGAACACAACTTGTCTGATGGTACGTTTTGCAGGAAAAGTATTGCTTGCAAGACTACCAAGACTGTGAGAACTATGACAAACTCATGATGTCGGCCTCAGGCAAGGTGTGGCTTCTGGCATCCTCCATGCTGTCTGCTACAAGCACAGGCGCTTCAGCTGGCGCTTCCACTGGAAGAACCTTTCACAATGTCAGGCTGGCAGTTGAAACTGCACTGGCTTCACAGCTCCCATTTCCACTCTTTGGTGGGCTTTCATCAGCTTACCCACTTCCTTTCAAACCTTGTCGGGCTTGCTTTCTCATGGTTGCAACACAGCTATGCCACACAGGATGAAGTCTCAAAGAGGGTCCACCAATGGCTCCTCCGATTTCTCTTCAAGGCATGCCCACAAGGTCGTGACTCTCCCATGTCGAGTCACTGGATCTGCCATGTCCAGTGCGCCAGGTGCACTGTCCTGCAGTGAGGCATTGTTTGAGGTCGGCGAGCCGACCGACGAATGTCAAAAGCACACTCTGACTCTGGGCTAGACTTCCAACAAAACAAGCATCCTCTTCTGTTGCAAGGAAGTGGTCAAGAGCAAGCTTTGCCCCAACACGCACTATCTAACATAAGGCTAGCGGGTTCTACAACCTGTTTTGCTTCCAGAACCAACCAAGCCAGCCAGCGAAGCCAGCCCATCACCCCCACGCTGGACCAGGCGCACCTCCCTGCGCAGTTTTGGAGGAGTAAGGCTCGCCTCGAGCCAACGGCGCCGGTCTTTCGCGCACGGATCTGTTGGGGCCGGTGAGCAGAGTAGACCTCCCCGTTTCGTGGAGACCAAATGAACTACTACAGAAGAGGAGTAGACCATGAATCCCGTGGTTCTTCCAGATTCGATCCAACAAGACGTCTCACTGTTCACGTGCTCAATGTTGGTGAGTTCTGGCAACACGCGTTCGGAAACCGCAGTGGTGGACTCGCTACAAAGGGCTGCTCTCGTCTCCAAGCCATCTCCGGGCCAAGCCAAGCCGAGTCTCAAAGTGGCTCCCACGACGCGGGAACTGAGTGGACCTCAGCGGGAAAGCCTCGACTTCTGCAAGCTACCTCAGACTTGACCTGTGATCCAAAAAAGAGAATGAAGCTTCTTAGCAAGCTTGTAGAGGGTGCTGATCTCATACACTCCGCCCTAGGCGACCTTGAGCATTCAGTCAAGGATGTCCCAGCAATAAGTGCTGATAGCAAAAACAACTTCTACTAACTAGAAGGAACTACCCCAAACGCACTGAGATCTACAAGCCCACTCTGCCCTCGGGATCCTGGGCCATCGACACAGACTCTGCCGTGGGAGGTATGGATGGCGTCCAGAGCCAAATCTTCTCCTCACCGCACCAAAATCTCAACAGGCTTGGGAGTTCAGGTGGCTGTGGTCAAGATATTGACTGCGATGCCGCTGCGCGTCAAAAGCCGCTAACGCATGGTTCTGAACATTCGCTTGTTGAGGGCTCTGGCCACTCTGGAGGTCTCATCAAGAATCCGCTTTCTGCTGATCTTCACCGGAGAGAAGACATGTCATCATGTCATCCTCTTGTCCCTGTGCAAACGGTGCTTGAACTGTGGGCAAGAGAGGCTCCTCTGCATTTGTAAACCATCCACTTCAGTGAATGGACAAGTCCAAGCATTTCTGGTGGTCATGAGGATGCCCAAAAAAATTGGAAGCCCCCACCCAAGCAACCGAAACCCTCCTGCGTCTTGACCTCTTCTGGAAGCCAAAGCTCCTCCGGCATGGGCAGACCACCCACTCTCTTGTTCAGAAAGATAAAGGAAAGAAGGAACTGGATGGGAGTCTAAGATGTCTAAGGTTGAAGCAACCATGCATCGATTTCACATAAAATGGAAGAGAATACCAGAGGAATTGCTCAAAACGGAGAGAAAAAACTCCCGGCTCACATGACTTTGTTTCAAGCAACAGAAACGGCCTCCCAGGACAAGCTTCATATCGATGAGGCCCCCTCACCCCTTTCTTCATCAATCATATCTTCTACAGCAGACTGATCATGCATAGCCAGACTTTGGAAAAATGACTCGGCACGTCGCCTACACATGACTTGTCAGGCTCAGCTGGGCTTGGCGAGGGGATCGCCGCTCCGTCCGTCGCCCTCCGTGCGCGCCGGTCTTGACCGTCCGTCCTGGGACAGGCAGTTGTCCACCTGCTCCGGCTGAGAGACTGGCTGAGATGGATCATCCACCACGATCCTTACACAGCCGAGCTGTCTTGGAGGATCCCAATCTCACAAATAGCACGAGGCCATGCTGTGTGATAGGAGGAAGATGCTGTTGTGATAGGTACACGTGCAAAACACCTCTTGAGTTTATTGGCATATCATATGCACGTCTCGCCGTTGCATCCTCAAAATTATTGAGACATCTCCTTGCTGGCGCACCGCAATTTGCACCCAAAATGTTGCAGGGCAACTGGTGGGATAGAGCCATGAGAAGGGTTCAGCCCAGGAGACACAGCAGCACCCTGGGTGTTGCTCGACTGCCTGCAGGCAAAAGAGGAACCAAACTCATGAGACAAGCAGCACGTCACCTGGGGTAGCTTCTTCTTCCTGGCATGGAGTGCTCCATAGAAACATCTGCTGTATGGCAAAGGTTTCCTTGCAAATAGAAAGATGCTCCTGTGACAGCTGTGCAAAAAAAATCAAGCACCTATAATAGACAGATATAAATATATATATAACCTGTTGAGTGCTGACTCAACTTCTCCTCCATTCTGTAACCATCAGTGACCTACGGGTGTTTCCTGTGGCGGATTGGGTGACCTGATCCGCTCGAGGGTGCCCAGTTTGCTTCCACCCGTGCGCCTCTGGTGTGGGGGGATCCGGCTGCGCCAGAGGGAAACTGCAGGACCGGGCGGAGCGTGGGCTGCGGCTTCGGCTGCAGGCCTTCACATCTTCACATCCGACGCATCAGGTTGTCAATGAAGGATGAGGAAGTGTCATACTCCAACGCAAGAATCGATGACACCCCAAAAGACTGGGATTGGACAGCTTATATCTGTCCTCCGGCTCACGTTTCGAGCTTCATCCCTTTCTTTCACCTTATAGACTTAGAGAGGAAAAATTATTGATGGAAGATACTTGCGATTGTCACTCAAACCCAGGTAGCGCCAGTGTCTAGGAAAACGAAGTCTGTGGACTATATTAAACTGCAAGGCCCTGCAAGCCTTCATCGAATTATGCGAAGCGCAGAAACTGAGGAACGCCAAATATGTGCGCTCATGAGCTAGCATCCTCAGATGTTGCTGCTGGCGTCCATGTTCTTCAAGCCCCTGTTGTAACATCCTGTTGTTTATTGACCGTTCCTAGAGTCGTAGTTTTCACATGAATTTGAGAGTTCAAGCCCAGCCTGGCTCGGAGATCGAGCAGGAGACCAGCGCCTATGACAGATCTGGGCAACAAAACCAGGTGAAGGGACAGGGAATGTAAGGAAAATCATGGAAATCGAATGCAATTGCACCCTTTTGGTGTGTAGCGTAGAGTGTGGGCACCACCAACTGCAGCACATCACCCGTTTAATTGATTTACTGTAAGTTCAACATGCAAGCAATATGCCAGCCTTTGGTCACTAGTCTTGCCGTCTTGCCCGTGGTTATATACACTGCTGGACAGTACCCACCCCTCTCCTTCAGCATGCTGGCTTCTGCATTCGTTCCTTTCATTTGTTCATTTACAACTATAGATCTGGCATCCAACCTATAATGTGGCACAGGAGGATCAACCCACTCACTGCCTCGCACAGATCGACAACCACCGCCTGCGCCCAGAAGGGCTGGGTTTGCTTTCCAAGGTAGAGCTCACGGCCAGTGGACCTCCATACCTAAGCTGTGCGGGAAAAAAGGATGGCTAGCCACTAAGGGCATGGAAGGACTCTAGGCGTCTAAGTTTGGTCATGTTCGACGAAAGGCGAAAAGCCCATGCCTCACACAGTGGGGTGCAGCAAAAGTCCCTACCCTGAACAAGTGTATGTAGTATATAGCATATGGCCAGTTCAAGCAGCCAACAACTTAACTTAGTGCCTGGCGGGCCTGACGGGTTAAAAACATGAATCACCTCCGAGTCTCTCCTTTGCTCTCGTGCTTTCAATTCCATTGTCACCTGCAACACTTGATTTAATGTTGCTCACCCCATCCTTGCTAGGAACAAGACCGAAGCTGATGAATACGTTGAGAGTACTATAAGTAAGTTCCATTTTTCGGTTGAGCCCGTCTTCCCAGCTGCCTTCCAAGGGACGACAAGAATCCCACCGATGCAGGAGACGGCGGCGTTCCACGGTCTGAGGGGACTAGACGGTGGGTGCGGGTGATACAGGAGACGTGGGTGCGAGATGACCGGGGCGGCATGGTTTGTCGAAATGAAAGGGGATCAAATGAAATCTTGATGCCGTTCTGGATGCCATGCTGGATTGCTGATCTGGGCTTGGAAAGCAAGGGGTCTTAGTCTCTTAGTCTAAGTTGAAGGATATACATTCGATATGGGTCCCTAGTTCATTAATTATTCCCTGCTAGAGGCGGCATGAGATCCCAAACGAAAACCAACCAAGGATATACTGAGATGTGGCAAGAAGAAGTTGCGAGACGACATGACCGGAAGGAGCGAGACGACATGACTTGCGAATCTTGACGAAAACATCAGCACACACAAGATCTCTGGAGAATGCACATATCAAATGCATCCGACGTCTGGCCAACAGGTTGCACATCCGACCCTTTTTGGGGCATCAAAAGGGGAGGACTGAGGGCATCGATCCGAGTCCCAAACTCCGAAGGCTTTGACTAGACTCCACCAGCTGCAGCCTCGAAAAGGGAGCCAACCCCTCAGTGGCTCCAGTCTCCTTCAGGTTTTATGAGGTTCCCTGGAGACGCCCTGCGGTTCCCTGGGCTGCCACACCTGGACTTGTCCGGGCTTCGCCACCCTGGGCATTTGCTCTGCTGCGGCGCGAATCGGTTGATGATCGGCGCCACTCTGCGGTTTATTGGGCGAACCCAAAACTCCTCCGGTCGCACTCACCGTAGGAGCGGTGTCAAATGTCTTGCAGAGCCATGAGTGGTTCAAATCCAATGACATGGAAAGAAGCCATCCTCATATCTATCAGCCATGTGACTCATGGAATTGATGGGGAAAATAGAAACCGTGCCTTTGAGATTGAAATGTGGATCCACGATTCCCACGGAACTCACATGATGAAGCCACTGAATCATCAACAGATATCAACAGTGTAAAGGACTACGAGATCAAACTGGTGGGTCAAGTCCAAGTGTCCAGTGTTCTGTCTCTGGCACCACTATGCTTGTAGGCTAAAAACCATCAGTGTTCGACCCCCGATGCAGGTCAAACCCGTTGAGTTCGAGGAAAAATCCCACCTAGCAGCCTTATATGTCCCATGCTAAGGCAAAAAACGATGCCAAAGACAGCAGAAAAATACAAAGAATTCAAGTCTTTACCAAGAGAGGGTGAAGAAGGGTTCTGCGCCCTGCGCCGAAAAATGTCTTCGTCCACTGGCCTCCATTGCAGAGCCCCGATCAGCGGGCATCTCCATGATGTGTAAATGTGTTTCAGCCAAGAAAGCAAGAAACTCATCCCATTCGCTTTTGCTGTTTAGACACCAACATACAGTACCTAGACTCTAGACTAGACAGACCAACAGCGTTTGAAGACTACATTCCTGGTTTCTATTCAAATGGATTGCTTCGTCTTTTGCCAGCTTTCCGTGGGCTGGAGCCAACTGCAGAAGTTCGATGGCCTCAGAAAAAAAACCTCAAGTGAGAGGTGGTTTCCAAAACAAGAGCAACAGCCCGGGACAGATGTTGAGAAACATTTGAGAACCACTCTCGATCCACGGCCCGGCCCACTCGTACTCCCTCGGTGTCTTCTCCAAAGCACGAGAGAATAAGGTCTTCAAGGTCTTCAATGGATCCCTCATCCAGCAAAAGATCTTCAATTTGGACCTGAAGCCAGACAGTAGAACGGAGGTCTCGGATCTGGGGTTTCTTTTTGAAGAACAACCGAAGGTCACTTCCCACGTGTCCAACTTGCCACAGGGCCCTGCTCTGATCCACCTCCAAGAAGTCTCCCAAGGATGCGGGCGTCACATCCAGGAGTTTCAAGGGGCGCTCGCCCTGAGGAATGCTTACACAGAACCCAAACAGACACACGAACGGATAAGATCCAGAATCATTCTGCAGTAGATGAGAATGTGTTTTTTTCCAGTAGATGAGAAGCGAAAAGACTCCAGTTGACAGCTGAAACATGTTGCGCCTCATCCAGCTGGAACTGGCTTCGTTCTTTGGATTCATACTCCATACGCATGTCTGAACATGTCTAGCATGGAGTAGTTCTTGAGATATTCCCTGTTTGACCTCAGGGAATAGATGCAAATGATCAGCAAATGATCTGCCCCTCAAGGCCGACGTGAAAAAGAGCTGACGGCCCCAGTATAGAGTCATCCCAATCGACCCCTCCTCTGTCGTCCAGTGTCATTCCACCTCCTCCACTGCTGATTCTTCAGGCAGACTGGCCAGCTGCTTTAAAACCTAAGCTGTGTCCAGCTCGGAGGTCTTGGATCCTTTTACAGATTTACTTCAAGCACGATGCGCATCCTTTTTGTCTAACACGATGCGCGAATCGCGCCGCGCGGCCACTGATTTGCCGTGGCTCAATCAAACCCAAGACAGCTCAGTCAAACTGTAGCGCAACGGCTCAGTGGGTTGCCGCAAAGAGTATTGGAGATATCCTGCAAGACCAGGGAAAACGGATGTGCTTCCCTCACTGCCTGACACGGGTTTGTCAGTTTGTCCCTCATTCAGCCTATGGCCAATGAAAAACTCCTGGTATGTGGCTGCATCTTGCATACGTCATCTCTTCCCCGTATAACCCGAGTCCTCCATCGCCTCATCGCTAAAATACACGGACCCACTCATCTCATTCTCAGCTTTGGATAGGTTGAATTGCATCACTGGGACACCACTCTGCCCATTCTCCTTGCTGGGACTCCAAGATGCAGCATATGCAGCAGTTCCTTTTGGAGTTCCATATTGGACGAAGGAGGCCAGGTAGCCGACAAACAACTCCCGAAACTTCATCCACTTCTCTGCTGGAAAGGGCCTCGGCAAACGTGGCCTTCGTCCAAGCCACTAAGCACTAAACAGAAACCGATTTTTTTAACCCGCTCCTACTTAAAAATAAGTAGGCGCCTATTTAACTAGGTAAGGAAGTAAGCTACTAGCTGCTGAAGCTACTACATATGGACGCGGGCTAGCGCTCGCACAAACTTCTAGATTTTTAGGGAAACTCAATCTTTATAATCTTTTGCAGACGAAGGTGGGCCTTTGATTTTGCGAGTTTGGACGGTACCGCCTGTGCAGACCAATATGAACCGTGAAAACCAGTGGTTTGCATAGTAGCATCATCTTTCCGAGTCTATGATTGTTTCTAGAAGAGCAATCCATCTGGGCCTGTATGCTTGGAGCCTCTCAAAAACGTCAAAGTGCCACAAAACCTGCTTTGTCCTTCTGCAAGCAGCGGATGTCCATATGCATGAAGGACACAGTCCAAGTCTGCGCCATGGCAAGCACCGCACCAACCACCTGCTGCATCCGTATCCATCAAGTAGCGGTAACGCGCACCTTGGTAGAAACGAAAATATTTGTTCAACAAAGAACAACCAAATAGAATCAAGTACTGTAGGCGATCTCCAAACCTGATAGTCTTTGGTAGTTAGTAGAAGCCCTGTGGTTCAGTCCCGGGGTAGAAGCGCAGGGGAAAGGGCAAAGATCCTGGTGTTAAGTTCTATGAGTCAATGAGAATTATTTGACATTCAGAGGTGCCTTGCAAGTGCTGCAGCATTTCAAGGATTATATTTTGGCAGTTGAGCAACTCTTTCATAGAAACAAAGCTTGGTGATCATGCTCTGAAAGATACCGAAGTACTGAGAGACAGGGTGTGCAGTCAAGACACGACTACACGACAGCCGCGACAACTCAAAAGACAAGTTGAGTGCGACACGAAGTGTATGGGAAGCTCAAAAACCCCACGTCTTGTCCTGACACTCACAGCACAACTTTGGGTCTAAGGGATCGAAGGAGTCACTCTGTCTGGCCTTCTTCTCTTGTTGCAAGTCACCCATGTCTTGGGAAACCAGTGGAGGGGGAAAGGCCATGAAAAGCCACCAGTTGGTGAAAAGAACCAACGCTTTGCCACCAATCATTCCGCTTTGGTACCGGTTCCTTGCCCCGCAAACTCCGTCCCCATGGAGTAGACTTGCGTGGCAGCCTGATGAGTGGCAGAGGCATCCAAAAAGAATGAGTGGCAGAGGCAAAGGCCTTGTCAGACGAGAAAGTCGAAATGCTCACCCTTTTCACCGCAGCTCGGAGCTCTGCAGTTCCCCCATGGCCAGAGCAGTAAAGTCAAAGAAGGAATAGCAAGTAACGGTTGGAGGCCTGTTTGGGCTATACCAACTTCAAGTTATTGCCAGCCTGCCTGCAAACTCATGGGCAGATTCCCTCCCATTCAACCCTCACCCCAGCACCTTGCCTGCACCGAGTCTGTTTCGGGGATAAGCTTGCAAATGGACACGTTCGGAGGGCATGGAGCGCCCTGAAAGAGGTCCATTGTATAACTCCTGTCAGGAGTTGGACAAGTTTCGTGACAAGTCTCAGCGAGCAGCCCTAGCACCTCTAGGAGTCTTGGCTCGAGTCACATCCAAACAATAGACACTTACTGGACAAAGTCTGTTGACATTGGCGGCTTGGTTTGGTTTGTGCCTCGTTGATTCTTGGGATTCCCACTTAATGTCTATTGGTAAGAAGAGGGATACTTCCGATCGGGTTGAACTCATCGGTTTTACCAGCAGGCTGAAGGCTTGCTTGAGGGCGCCCAATTGTTCATGATGACTCTGGCGGTGAAAAGTGCCACCTCTTAGGGTCTAAAGTGTCAGACCACTTCTGGAAGCAGTTTTTCTTGCCACCTTGTCTTCTTGCCTTGACAGTCAAAACAACCGCTTCTGACTCTTGCAGCTTCTAATCCAAGTCTGGGCACATGCTATGGCTATGGTAACCTTGCTGTACCTTTATACATTGATACTCGGGATCGGACACAATCTTGAGCAGCTCAAGTTGACGCACACGATCCTGCACTAAATAATAGCATAAGGAATTACAGGTACTCACCAGCCTGTGGAACAGCTACCCTTCCGACAATTCTCTGGTGGTATAGGACGTATAGGATCTCGTCGAAACCCCACTCCTCCGACACGCGACCTGTAACTCACCGTTTTTGTGTCACACCCGCCGGCAGCCTTCGTTTCCCCAGATCGGTGGCCTAGGAACAAGGACGCTACTAGGAACAAGTGCATCGCTACTAGTAACAAGTGCCTTACTAGTAGTAACAAGAAGCTACTAGTAACAAGGGCATGCCTTCGTTTCCCCAGATCGGTGGCCTTAAACAGGAGACTTGTGCCGCATTCCAGTTCGGCAAGGCGTCCTGGGGACAAAACACTCTCACGGTGCGCGAATCACTGGCTCTCCAAGCAAGTATCATTGACATCGATTAAGCCAAGCAAAGAAAATCATGGCAAGGAAAAGAAATCCAAATGATCTCGGCCTCAGTACACCCCATTCTCTCCTGCAAAAAGCGTTCCACAAAGGAGCTTCCAGGAAGGCCCATCTGAAAAGATCGCCATTCATGGGCCATTGAACCCAGGATGATTGGGACATGACCTCAGGATGATTGTGCATGTCCTTCAAGCAAGCCTGCTGTGATGGCAGCTGGACAGCTGCAAGCGCCCCAAGCAGTACCCGGGCAAGTAGCAGAGTAGCAGCACTGAGAAACAGTGACCTCTACAGTTTGTGTATTTTTGTACAGTACCTCTAAAAAAGACATGTGGATATAAGTACAAGCCTGGAGCCTCTACACTACACTGTGTCTTGTATCTACATATATAGAATGCATGTTACACATGTACATCCTTAAAAACTGGAGATGGGCAATCGTCCATAGGACCATCCGTACATCCGTTCATCCATCGTTCCAGCCCGTTCCCATTCACATGCATGAATCAGTCAAACGAATTACACACAGCAACGCCATGCAAAGTGCATACTCTCCGTATTAATATCGTGCATGCAACTAATCTAATTTGCTACACTCATTCTGTCCCTGCTGTTCAACACCATCCATAGATTCTTGCCATAGATAAGATGTTCAGCATAATAAAATGTGAGTACAGCAGTGCGATACATTGCAATCTTTATGGAATACTCAGGTCAGCAACGCCGTGGAAACACATTCCACTTTCAGATGAT